GACTTAGTTATTTTGAAGCAACAATTACAAGTTGCTCAAAATTAATTTTTAGGAAAGTGTTACACCTTTAGGACGTTTCTCCTTTGCTTATATTATACAAATGTTAAAACATAGAAAGTTGGAAAATGTAAATGCAATTTTTAATTTAAAATATTGACACCATTTGCAATGCACGATACAGTCTTTCCCTCTACAAATTGACCCAGTAAACCTTGACTTGGGTTTTTCTCATTTTGTTATTTTCGTTCGCAACAATAAAATTCTAATGATCATCGTCTCTTTATGACATTTTGAACAGTTCTAATCCTCATAACAAAAATGAAACAACACAACCTGTAGCTATTTCAGTATATTAAGTTGAAATCTGTAAATTGATTATTCGTTTATTGGAGGATAAAAATCACTCAATTTTGGGAAGGAATTACGCTCATTTGCAATGTAGAGTAAAGCCAAAAGTGGGCTTGCAAAGAGGCTTATATTGACGTTCCGGTTCATAACATTACCCAAATGGGTCCTCAATGTTAGCCACAACGTTACCATCATCTAACCAAATATACACCAACCCTTTCTTCTTCTTCTTAGCTTAATCATTATCATCGCTATAAATATTGATGTGAAAACTATGCTCTTACCCACAAAAACTATTGATTTGCTAGAGATTTCTTCCAAACAAAAAAAAAAATGTTCCAAGTCGTGGAAACTGTGGAAATGGCTATGTAGAAGAGAGTTGATTACCGTGAGATGGCACGGAGCAAGATGCAGAGGATATGAGAGAAGTCAGGGCGTGTGGAGGGGCAACTGTTCCAGCATTTGGTCATAAGATATCTGAGGACTTGTGGGCAATCTTTTGGGATCTCTGGTCTTAACCCGCATGCTGCAATCCCAACCGCTGCCTGCACTGGCGAGCAAGATCCATACGCTTCCTCCCCTGTCACCATCTCCCAAAGCACCATCCCAAAGCTATACGCATTGCTCATCCAAGTCTCTCTTGTCTTCTCCGGGTCCCCCGCGATCATCTGATTTCAACCATTTAACAAGCTGCAGTAATGAACAACTGCTTTTCCAATAGAATCTACTCGTTCATAAATAGATAAGGAGAATCGGTGATAGAGAAATCCATTAGGCATGCTCAGTTAATGTAATGATAAAACATTTGCATCTTTAACAGAATAGGTAGAAGCTTACAAGTATAAACTACCCACCAAATCCTCAGGCAAAGTTTTCCGTAAAATTTGATTACGGATCACTGAACTAGGATTATGCAAGAAGAGCGTCAAAGAAATACAGACCTCGGGTGCAAGCCATCGATAGCCATCTGTTTCGTACTCCATGGCCTCCCTGACACTCTTGCACGCGGTGACTATTCCCATATCACCCAAACAGGCGTTGCCTTGCTTATCTAATAGTATTCTGTGCGTGTTAAGGTCTCTATATGCAACACCATGATCATTCATGAACTTCATCCCTTCTGCGATGTCAACAGCAATTCGAAATATCTCCTTGGTCTGAAGCTTCTTTTTCTTCAACACCAGTTCATGGAGTGATCCACCTTGCATCAGTTTCGTTACTATGCATAATCCATGATTTTCATCGATGCAGACACCATAAAACTGCAGAATGCTCTTGTGTCCACAAGTCATCAGCTCCAAGAAATCTTTCCGGATTTCAAACTCATATGAATTCCCCTTATCACAGCCTTTTAGTTTCTCAATGGCCACCCTTTTTCCTCCATAAACTCCTTTAAAGGAATTTGGTCCTACCTGATCACTAAACTCGAGATTATCTGAATACAGTAGCCATTTCCTGATATCATCGCCGCCCAATTGGATAGTCTGCCATTCATCCACTGATACAGAAAACGAAGATCTTGCGGGTGGCATTTGAAGCTGGATCCTAGCATTCGGATTTTCCAACTCTTGTCTACAGCATTGATCAATAGACTCTACATCAAGATCCCCGAATTCTCCAACACCGGCATTATGTTCTTGACAGCCGCAGAGACCAAAAGGAAGCTTCACAGAGGTTGACTTGGGCTTCCTCACCGCAGATTTAAGAGCATTCTCTACCTTAGTTCTGAAATTATTTTCTTGTCCGGACTCAACCACAAGAACAACAACTCCGAGAGTCAACCCTTTCTTCTCAAAGATTTGTACTTTCTTACAACAAATCAAAGCAGTATCAAGAGATCCTGAAATGGTTGACCACGAAAGCAAACAAGTGCAAGCGAATGTGAGCTTCAACACAGAACCCTGAGCTTCCTCCTCATCACACACCACCTCTTCAATCACAAACACAGGACTGTCATCTCCACAAGTTTGCTCAATCAGTTTTATGTGTACACATACCTCTTTGATATCGAAATCAGCCTGACTGTAACTGTTCAAACAAAAGCACAATTTTATCCACCAAATACAACAAACAAAAATCCAGATCTAAGCTAATGGTTCTGGGGAATTTTTGTTTACCTGAGAGGCAAAGAATCGTAATGTTTCCTGAGATTAGAGACGAGTTTCTCAGGCAATTGGCTTCCAGGGTACATTTTAGCGAGGTTTCTCACAACAGTAGCCCAAACGAGCTTCCTGCCTCCTCCGGTGGTTGCATTCTGGTCATTGTCCCGAATCGAATCGAGGCTCAGAGAGTTTTTGAGAGAGGAGATCGCGTCGGAGACATTGCGACCGAGTCGCTGAAACCGTTTCTGCATACCGGAGGAGGTCTGATCGAAACGAGAAGCAGCGGTGAGTGACTCAGACCTGTCGTCGGAGCACATGAGGATTTGGTCGTCAACGAAATCGTCGTCGGTGCAGCCGCCGGAACCGCGGGTGGACCAGCATTCAAGCGCGGAGGCCATGGTTGCGACTTACGACTGGCGAAGGTAACAAGGTTTTTGAGTCTGGCTGGCTACTTAAAAATGCCGAGTGAGATGTATTTTGCTTTTACAATACTAATGTTTTGGTGTTAAACACACAAGCACCAGTGGTCTAGTGGTAGAATAGTACCCTGCCACGGTACAGACCCGGGTTCGATTCCCGGCTGGTGCATTTTCTTTTTTTTTTTTGTGAAAAAATGAGATACTTTTTTTGGTCACTTGCAAACAATTTTATCTTTGTAACTGAGAATGAGTAGCATGCTTCTGTGAAACAAAATCGTTTCATATACCAAACAAACTGAGGAGAAGAAAGAAAGATAATACAAGCGTGTGTGTGTTGTATATATAGTCTTAACATCCGGGCAAGTCCAATGGTGGAGACTGAACAGAGTGTAAATGCCCCTCGCCGTTCTCAACTAAGAAGACCATAGCCAGACCCCATAATATATGCGAATCGAGGTGACAATGCATCAGCCAAACTCCTGGATTATCGGCCACGAATCTGATAGCTACCCATCCACCTGGAGGAGTTCCGATTGTGTTTCTTCGTGGTGGGTCGAGGAGGTTGAAGGAGGCTGTATCTTTGCTCGGGCTGAAGTTACCAATACCTGTCCCAACTACATAGAACTCGTACCCGTGGAGATGCATCGGGTGATTCTCAGTGGTCACAATGCTCGTGTCTTGCAATATAATTTGCACTTTCGACATGAACTTTAGTTTGTAGGCCTTTGTTCCACGGGTAGGTTGCCATAGCCCTCTGCTCACGTTTCCTGTATAGTCAAATGTGAGAGGAGGAACTGGAGGGAAGTCTGTGGTGAAAACACCGGCGGGGTTGCCTTGGTAATAGGCTTGCATTATGGAGCTTCGTTTAGGGAAGACGAAAGAGACGTTGTTGATGCTCGCGGTGAAGCGTGTTCCGTTCGGGCCTTGACATCTTTGCGTGTTGGGGGTTGGGCAGTTGAATAGTCCCAATCCTACTGTGAAAAACAAGTCCTCGTCAATGTCGAGTGGTATTTCCACTTTCGAAGGACTCTTCATCTGCGCTGTGAACGCTGCTGCTGTTGCTGTGTCGTTGAATCCTGGCAGCTGCGCGGATATTGCCCGTGCCTGCGATTTACCTTGAAGAGTAACACAAGGGGCGCCTTTGTACTGGATGATTGCGGTGGTGGTAGTGTTGTCAAAGGGAGCGTTGGCGCTGTTGTAGGCGTGTGCCGCCATGTAGTAGTGTGCAGGTGGTTGGTCTGCGGTTAGAAGCACATCGGTTGTTTGACCAGGACCTAGCATTATGACATTGGTCGAGAAAGGTTTGGTGTAGGATGCATCCGCAGCAACAACTGTCAGTTTGTGATTCGCCACACCGAAGAAGAGTTCTTGGTTCAAGGCAGAGTTGATGACCCTAAGGAGAATGGTCTCTCCTGATCCCACCAGAAATCTCAAAGTTTCTGTGTCGTGACAAATACACAATATTAACTAAACAGTCGTATAGTTGTAACTGTTTTATGAATTCTAAATTAATTGTTGTTACCTTGGCTGGAGCATCTGTAGAGATCACCAGGCTGACCATTGATGGTTAAGGCGTCTGACACGTTTGGCGCTGCTCCTGTGAACTGGGCTTGGTTCAGAACATCCATGGGGTTTCTGTCCCACCACTGTCCTAAGAGAAGGGTAAACTCTCTCTTGGGAAGAACTGGAAAAGGGTAATGAGGAGAAGAGAGCGGAGGGCGAATGATGAGAGCTCCATACACGGTGGCTCGAAGCCATCTGCTGTGAGCATGCCACCACAAAGTACCTTCTTGTTCTTCGATATTGAACCTATAGGTGTAACTCCCTCCTGGTTGGATTGGGCATTGGGTTATGTACTCTGGTCCATCCGCCCATGGATTCCGCATCTGCCGTATCCCATGCCTGTAGAAGACTTTTTTTAGAGCTAGCCTTCTGATTATCAAAAACATTGATTTTGATTACAAAGGATAGTGAGTAAGTTACCAATGGAGGGTGACGTTGTACTGAGCTTTGTTTATGGCAGTGATGACAAGCGAATCACCGTTTCGTACCTCCAAGGTCGGCCCTGGAAACTGTCCATTCACCGTGATCGAGTTTTGAACTTTGCATAGCCTCTTCACAGGCGTCTTTTGGATCTAACCAACACACAAAAGGAACAAACTAAGTTTAGGATCAAAAGAAACGAAATATAACAATGAAGGGAGCAAACAAAAACAGAGGGAATTAGTAAAACACACAACGAACTCATGAAAGTGAACTTCTGCATTGACAAGTGAAGCTACAAAAAAGACCAACAACACAAAGAACAACCACAGTTGTTCCATTTCCTTAAGATTTTGACTTTGTGAGAGTAAAAAGAAAAGTTGATATACCTTTTTATAGGCAATTCAACTGAATGTTTGAGATACAGAGAGCTTTTTTAGTCTAACCAGCACACACGATTTGGTGTAACCACTAAAACAACAAACAGTTTCTGCTTTTTAAAATTTTGATTCTTGTTCTACAACATGTAGGTGAACTCCTACCAGCCCACTTTAGTAATCTGTATGGTTTTTTTCTCATCCTCGGACACCAAATCTCCTTAAACCAGAATCCTTACTATGTCCCCCAATAAAATAGAGAATCTGATCAAAACTTTTAAAATATGCCTAAAGTAGCTGCAATATCTATCACACCTCAAAACCAAATCTAT